TCTAGTGAGAGTGCGCAGAGGGTGTGACCCGGCATGTACTCCTAGACTACTCTTCGTATATTGCTAGCGGCAATATGCCATGTGATGTTTTACTGGCGCCACATGCATGATAATATGTAGTCCGTGTCCATACATGTGCATTTTAAATGTTATATAATAAATTGATATTTTTATGTCTTGGATGAGTGAGATGAAATATTGTTATTAACATATTTATGCTATATATGTCTTGTTTGTGTTTGGCTATCCGGTGTGTATTTCTACACTGTGAGCCAGAGTGAGATGTTTCTCACTCCTTTTTCTTTTTGTTGTTTTCCTTTGACTGTTGTACAAGTGATTATTAGCATGAGGCTGGAAATGTAGGTGATAAAGCTTAGGCTTTAGAGTTTGGTTTTGCTCTGATAGGACATGTGACGACCAGGTTGAGTCGGATAACGGGTTAAAAACACAAAATTTGTTATTTGACCCATACAATGTTGGATTTTGGTTGAGTTGGATTGGGTCTGATTTAAATATTGAAAAAATCTTATCCGAACTCATTCGATTCATTTGGGTTAGTTTGGGTTTGTAGGTTACCCATACCTGCTTACACCCCCCTAATTAAAGCACAAACATGCAATTTAGAATGGATTATCAATAAATATAATTAATTGATTATATATATATATATATATATATATATATATATATCTAAATAAAAAAGAGTTAAATTTATTTATTTATTTATAAAAATTTAAATATTTTAAAATATATGTAAATCATTTAATACATTATTGTAAATACAATGTTATTAACCTATAAAAACAAACAACGATACAAATAATTATAAAATAAATTTATTAATTTGTTATATTATTATCAACTAAAAAAGTCAACATTAATTAATATAAAATAAAAATTTAAAATAAATATATTATACTGTTATAATGTTATTAACTTAAAACACAAAAATTGTTACTAAATAAAAGTGATAGTAACTATTATCCTAAATAAATGATCATTAAAATAATAATAATAATAATAATAATAATATTATT